TTGTTACTTTGTGAGGGTGAAAAGGATAACTATTGCATTGTTCTGTACACCTGAAACTAACAATAAAAAATAAAAAATAAATAAAATAAAAATAAGAGGATCTCTAGAAGGTGTTAAAAAGGCAGTTCGATGCCAAGATCTCATCCACATGCACAGTTAAACAACTGACACTCCCCTAATCCAGCATAAAACTGACATTTATTTTCTTGTAAAACAAGTGGTCTCAGGACAAGGAGACATCAGGTAATCAAGAGCAAGGATACTACATAAAAAGGGAGATGTAATATGTAACAGGCATGAGACTAAAGATCTTTCACTGAGGAAAGATCTCAAAAACATGGACCATTCCTCTACAAAACAACCGAGCTAGATCATCCTAAAGAAAAAATCCACAGTCAGCAAGTTTCCCATGCATAAATAACCCTTCCAATCAGCGTTTTAGTTCCCACTCCTAAATTTATACAGACAAAATGTTGATATAGTTCTTGAAGTTAGGTGATGGTTACCTAAGGATTTGTTATACTGTACTTTCTTTTATGTATTTTTTCACTCACACAAAAAAGCAGACAACCAAGGATCAACAGATATGATTAAAATGTCTAATATGAAAAATAGAGAACAAAACAAACAAGTAGAAAACAGCATCATGAAAGAAACAGAGACACACATAGAGATGAAAGCTTGGAAAACATTGCATTCATGCAACAAAAATGAAATGCTGTAAAATGATTATTCAAAACAAAAAAAGAACTCAAAGACATTGAAAACATTATAACAGGAAAGAAAAACTCAATAGAAAGCTTCAAAGATAAAGCTGAGGAATTTCACCGGAAAGTAGAGCAAAAGGACAAAGAGAAGAAAAAGTAAAAGAGAACAGTAAGAAAAATAGAAGACTGGTTCATTCATCCATTATCTAAGTAATGAGAAGTTCAGAAACAGACAAAAAATAACAATAAAAAAATCAAGAAAGAGAAGAAATAATCAATAAAATATAATAACATAATCTCAAACCAAGAAAAAGAGTTTCCAGTTTAAAATGTCCACCAAGTGTCCAGAATATTGGAATAAAAATACACCCACACCATCATGAAACTGAAATCAAAACACAGAGAAAATCATAAATGTTATCAAAAAGAGAAAGGAGAGATGACATATTCAAGAGTCAGTGATTAAAATAAAATAGGTCAGGGTTCCTAAAAGCAACTGTAAAAGACAGAAGACAAAGGAAAAAATGCCTCTAAAATTCTGAGGATAAAATCTAGAATTTTATACCCAGCTACATTACTACAGAAATAAAGACATTTTTACACATAAAAATCTCAAAATAATTTATGTCCTGTGAACCTTTTGCAGAATGCCACTGACATTCATGGGTTCCATCAGAAAGAGGAGGTAAAACAAGAAAAAACAACACAGGTAGAGAAAATCGGCATCCCACAGAAAGGAGAGGCAAGAATCCTGTTGATGACAGTGAAAGGGGGTCCGGTTCTAACAGCCGTGCACAAGCATAGAGTAAAACCAGTTCAGACTAAAGCACATAAGAATCTTCCAGATTTCAAGATCATGAAAATAACAAAACACCTTATATATCTGAACATACTGAGGGAATGTTTAGATAACAGGTGAAGAGAATGGATTCAATTACATAGAAAACAAATGTAGAATTCTAAGACCACCACCCATTCTTGACCCCCGTGCACACACACTATTCCCCAGTTATTCAATCAAACACTAATCTAGATACTACTGTGATAGAATCTTACAGATGTAATTAAGGTCCCAAATCAAGTGAACTTAAGATAGGAAAATTATCCCAATAGGCCTGACCTAACCACATGAGCCCTTTAAAAGAGAGTTTTCTTTGTCTAGTTGCATAAGAAAAAGTCCGAGACTTTGACATGTGATAGCTGCTCAAGTAATGTGGTTGGACCCTAGAGACTGAGATGGGCCCCAGCTGACAGCCAGCAAGTAATCTGGGACCTCAATACTGCAGATCAAGAAACTGAATTCTGCCAACTGGCTGACTGTGTTAAGAGATTCTTCCCCAAAGCCTATAAAAAAGAACTCAGCCTGGCAGATACCTCAATTTTAGCCTGTCAGGCCCTATCAGAGTGTGGACATGGTATGCTGGATCAATGACCTATAGAACTACTAGTTAATAAATGGATGTTGTTTTAAGCCATTAAGTTTATGGTAATGTGTTACATAGTAACAGAAAATTTATAAGCTAAGCAAATTAAATTACTAATACAGGACTGGCAATGAGGAGAATGGTTGTACAAGAAAGAAAATAAATCTTAACATGATGACATATGCCTTCAACGGCATTTGTATAGTCACACTAAAATATAAAATCACTAAACAGTGACCTAACTTAAATTACAATATAACTATAGTGGTAGGATGGAGGACTAGAAATCACATAGAGGGGAATGAAAGAAGTAAATCTTCATTTTCTATACAGGGAAATCAAGAGAGAATACTACAATGTTTAAATCAAGAATGAATAGTATAAGTACGTTACTTAGAGCTAGAGAGATAACAAGCCTAAGAGACGGGGTTCAAGTGGTAAAAGTGGAGTCTTCCACCAAACAGGAAATGGAGATATTGCTACTTTCCATAAAAAGTCTTCAAGAACTGACTCCTTGACTTATCTAACATGTAAAATTGATCAATACATAAACCTATAAAGAACAAAAAGTACCACATTCTCTCATGCCTAGGGGGCTTTACGTGCTAGCCAATTTGCTAAGAATATTCTTACCACCCTCATCCCTGCACCACCATTTCATTAATACCTCCTGTTTAACACTATTTAACACCAACACTTTTTGGGTACCACCTGTCAGGAAGCCTTCCTGATGTTTCACCTCACCCTCAAATCTGAGCCAGGTAACCACCATGAGCCCTCACAGCACCACGTCCTTATTGCTAAAAGAGCACATAGTGCAGGTGTTCAAAAAAACTTTATTATATGAATGAATGCCTACCTCCACTAAAGCCAACTACTGCAGATGAGAAAGTTTATTTTCAGCCATTGTTACCTGCCCCAGTCAGAGACTAGAGTCTGGGATCCCAGAATTTAAAAAAAAAAAAAAAAAGTACACTATTAACTGCCTGTTAAATTTTACAAGTCATAAGATGGCAGTTTCTTCCATGAAAGGAAACTTACCAGTAACTCTTAGTACCATCTTCTTAAATGTTTGAAAAACTTATTTTAAGCTACAGTCTCAATGTTAATATTAAATGTTACATGGTTTCTCCCAAGAAGGACAGATGATTATTTGGCTGGATCCTTGTACCCTTTGCCAGCTCAAAAACACAGGGTATTTGTCATGATTAAAAGAAAAGGCCCTAAACACTCCAAGCATTCCATGCAGGTTGCTCTGGCTTCCCAAGATTTCCTGAGGCAACACTGCCTGAAGCAACATAGAAGCTGGGTTTGTTCACGCCTCCCTCATAAAACTTTCAAATTGAGTTTAAAGATATAAAATGCAAAAGATGTGGGGGTCACTCTCTGTTCTGTTACTTACAAGAGCTATCTCAGTCTAGTCACGAAACTACCTTTTGCATCATCTATAAAAGAGATACCTTTCAGAATAATCACAAGAATTAAAGGGTAGACAGGGAGAGATGCTAGGTCAGACACTTATTAAAGGGAAAGTACAGTTTTTAAATTTTTGTATCACTATTCATCTATGTAAAACTTCCTTAGACAAAATTTGTAACTGTAAAACTCATCCATAGATATTTATTGAAAAAATGAGTTTGTTTCAAAAGTGTCAGAGTGCCTGAGAAAGACTTTCTTTTTAACTAATATTAGAAAGGATTTAAAAAAAAAAACTTAGAACACGTAAAGTAGTCATTCTTAATTTAGAGAGAGATCTCCCCATTGGAAAATCTATCAAACTTTGGAGCAAGGGCAGTAAAAATCACTTGAGCGCCCCTGTACCCAGATATTCCAAGTCTTGGCATTAAGCTGCTCCCTCTCTATAGGCTCACATCAGACTATAATTCACTTAAACTATAGTTCAAATAAACTATAGTTCAAATGAGAACTATAGTCCCGTTCTCTTTGAAGTTCAGGTTCCTCTCTACCTGTTACATACTCCAACACCTCAAAGTGAAGATGTCTAAACTGAAATTCACTCCTCCCCTCAAAAGCAACTTACCTGTTTTTTATTTTAAATCAAGGAAAAATAATGAAAATGGAGAATAAGTTTATGCAGAAAAGCCCTGAATACAAAGAAAACTGCCTGCAAAGTAAAATGGACTGCACAAATTATGAGTCTAATCACTGGAGACCACTAACATCTAAGGAAAGAAATCATCTTTAAAAAGTAAAGAATATTTTTCAGATGCCAAAAATGTCCCAAGTAAACATACAAAAGGTGTTTTTAAGACTGTTTAAATCACATATGAAAGAGACATAAAATGTGAGGCTTTTCACTACCATTCACATAAACAACATAAAAACAATGGAAAATTTTAAAGAAGAAAAAAAATACTGAACTAAAAAACTGTGGAGAAGCAACTTACCTGAACAAGATGAATAAGCGTTGTCAGAATAGCACATCTCAACATATTGTGTTCTTCGCTTTGCTTCCAAAGAAGAGGCAAATATTGCACCAAACATCCTACATACGGTCGTATCTATCACAACAGAAGTAGGGGAAGCAAAAGAACTGTATTAGGAAAGAAGGCAACTTATTTCAAGAAACACTGACAGACCTATTAAGCCCCAGATAGCAAATACTTAATATTTACTAGATGTATATATTAAGCATATATCCTTTTAAAGATATCCTTTTAAAAATAAATCAGACATTACATAAAGACACAAAGCTCTACAGTAAATACTTTTAAACAATTTTAAACAAGTACCAAATTTATTGCATGAAATAATATGCAGGAATATAAAATAACATACCAAGACCAGTTATTTCTTTAGAGTTTAATAGAAAATACTGTTATATCCTGGTTCTTTTTTAATAAAACAGCTTGCCTAACTGGCAATACACTGTTTAAAAAGAGTCGGCATTTTCTCATTCGCTCAACAATTATCTGATGGCATCTGCCAAGTAAGTATCAGGCCCTGAGCACAAAGCAGCATAAAGAAAAGAATAAAAGGTAGACATACTAACCCTTACAATGAGAAAGGGTAAGTGTAATGGTGAAGGTATACATAAGGTATAGTGGAAACACAGGAGAAAAAAATCCTTTTCAAAGGACAAAATTGTCAAGCCCACTATGGATTAAGTTAACCAGTTTTAAAAATACACCCTGAAGCACAGCACAGTTTGACAATGAGTTTCTTGGAAAATAAAAAGGATCTACACTGCTCCAGCTCTAGGATGACAGTCACAGTATTTGGAATTGCTCTAATGAGTACTCCTGGTGATAAAACAGAAATATTAGACTGTCACAGCTTCAGTGCTACCTACTTATATACCATTGATTAAAATTAAAAATTGAAAGAGTGAGAGTGTATTCTGCTTATAAAGCAGCATACACCAAAAGGGTAGCAAAACAACTGTAGGATTTGTCCTACCCCCGGGAGAAGGGGGGCAACGTACAGAAAGGTAAGAAGGTAAATATTTGTCCAAATATTTCAGGAAGATAAAGCTGAATAAATATTAAGAAATTCTTTACTTATAATAAATTACCATATTTTCAAAGTTTGAATCAAACTATTATAATAGATAATATCTGTTGAGCATTTAATTTTGCTAAGTGATCTATCTCAAAGATAACTCCAATTAGCTTATAAAAGCAGACCAATTCATATGTAAACACAGGTTTCAAATTACCTAACTTGTTCATACTCAGCTAAAAACAGCATATAACTAACTGCATGTTGTACTGATAATGAAAATAAACTAGTTCTGGTTTTGAACAAATATAATACATTCCAAGGAATGACAGAAAGGAAGTATATGTTATGAATTATAGAATAGGTAATAAAATCAAAGTACTTTGTTACATTTGAAAGTCATAAAATATTTATATCCCAATCTTAGCTGTTCATTAGAATATATGATGCTCTAAATTAAAATTAATGCTTCAAAACAACAATTTCAGAAATCACCTGTAGAGTCACTGTTAAAAGAACAAAAAAGGCTGAGGATTAGAAAACAGAGTGACGACATGAGACTCAAACACATTCCCCTAGGGTAGGATGACAGAGGTTAAAAAGTATATTTTGGGGCCGGTCGAGTGGAGCGATGGTTAAGAACTGGCTTGGGATGCCAGAGGGCCCCAG